GAGAGCTCTCAAAGCAGGGCCCCAAAGGTGCATGCAGGTTAACACTACCATGTGCAGCGGGGGGCCCCCCCCGGACAGGCCCTCAGAGCGGCCCACAGAAAAACCCCGATGGGGGCCCCCTGGGGGGCCCCCAGGGGGGCCCCCCAGTGCAGCGCCGAGGGGGGGGCCCCCATGAGAGAGGGGGAGGAGAGAGGGGCGGCGGAGAGGGGGCAGACCGACAGGAGACGATAGCCAAGGAGAAGCTTCTTCATGAGCTCCGCGCTGCTGCTGCTGCTGCTGCTGCTGCTGCTGCTGCTGCTGTTGCTGCTGCAGTAGCAAATCCCGCGGATGCCTCAATGCAGTGCCCCCGTGAAGGCTTCGAAAGGGGAGGCCTTGTTGCTGCTGCTGTTGCTGCTGCTGCTGCTGCTGCTGCTGCTGCTGCTGCTGCAGCTGCTGCTGAGTATACGGAGAACTGCAACCCAAGAGCGGCGTACTGTTGCCAAATGGCTGCTGCAGAGTATGCCTGCGCTGCTGCTGCTGCTGCTGCTGCTGCTGCTGCTGTTGCTGCTGCTGCTGCTGCTGCTGCTGCTTCGCGTATTCGATCCATGAGGGAGTAACTCCTGCTGCTGCTGGGCTTTGAGGCTGGGTCCATAGCTGCTGGCTCTGTAGCTGCTGCAGTTGCTGTTGCTGCTGCTGCTGCAACTGCTGCTGCAGCTGCTGCTGCGACAGCATTCGTTGCTGCTGCTGCAGCAGCCAAGCTTCTGCTGTTTCAGCTACAGCGTTGCTGCTGCAGGTGCTGGATTTGGTGCTCGTGCGGGTGGAGAAGCTGGCTCCTGAGCGCTCTCGCTGCTGCAGCAGCAGCAGCTGTTGCTGCTGCTGCTGCTGCTGCTGCTGCTGCTGCTGCTGCTCTAAGAACCCCTGGGACCGTCGCACTATGAGTGGTTGTGACATAGACAAGCTTGGGTTGCTGTCGCTATGCTGTTGCTGCTGCTGCTGCTGCTGATGCAGCTGTTGCTGCAGCTGCTGCTGCTGCAGTAGCTGGTGCTGCAGCCGCTGCTGCTGCTGTAGCTGCTGCTGCTGCTGCTGCTGCTGCTGCTCCCATGGACACAGCCCAGTTTCTGTCTCTCCATTTGGTAGAGACTTCCAGCTGCTGCTACTGCTGCTGTTGCTGCTGCTGCTGCTGCTGCTGCGTTTGCTGTAGTTTTCGTTGCTGTTAATTTCCTTGTTGTTTCTGCTGCTGCTTCTGTTGCTGCTGCTGCTGCTGCTGTTTCTATTGATGTTCCTGCTGCTGCTGCTGCTGCTGCTGCTAGTAATGCGAGTTCTTCCTTCTGGCCGCAATGGCACTAAGTGTGCTCCCCACTGAACTGTATCCTGCTGCTGCTGCTGCTGCTGCTGCTGCTGCTGCTGCTGGCAGCTAGAAGGAGAAGCCTGCAGCGACCTGGTTTTTATATCTTCTATGCATGCGGCTAGGTGTTCCCGCTGCTGCTGCAGCTCTCGGTGCTCCAGCAGCAGCTGCTGATGGAGTTGCTGCTGTCTATACAGCTGAGCTGCTGCTGCTGCTGCTTGGGTAGCCTCAGCGATACTGTCCCACGACTGCTGCCGCTGCTGCTGCTGCTGCTGCTGCTGCTGCTGCTGCTGCTCCTCTTCCTCCTCCTCATCATCATACTCGGGCTCTTCTGCTGCTACTGCTGTTGCTGCTGACGATGTGACAGAGACAGCGACAGAGGAGACAGCATCAGACGGCGCCATTGGTGGCTCCTGCTGCTGCTGCTGCTGCTGCTGCTGCAGCTGCTCGTCCTCCTCCTCCTGCTGCTGCTGCTGCTGCTGCTCCTGCTGCTGCTGCTCCTGTATAACTAGTCTGGCTGTGGTTTGTCTGTGCTGCTGCTTCAGCTGCTCGTGCTCCGCCAGCAATCTCTCTATTTTAAGTTGCTGCGACTCCAGCTGCTGCTGCTGCATCTGCTGCAGCAGCTGCTGCTGCAGCAGATGGTTCAGTATCTCTTCGGGGGCTACTGCGGTGTCCTCGCCGTGTTGCTGCTGCTGCTGCTGCTGCTCCTGCTGCTGCTGCAGCAGCAGCTCCGTCTGCTGCTGCTTCTCCTGTTGCTCCTCCTCCGTTTGCTGCTGCGACTGCTCCTCCTCTTCTGCCTCCTGCTGCTGCAGTTCTTGCTGCTGCAGTTCTTGCTGCTGCAGTTCTTGCTGCTGCAGTTCCTGCTGCTGCAGTTCTTGCTGCTGCTCTTCGTGCAGCAGCGGTTCGTGCTGCTGCAGCAGCAGTTCTTGCTGCTGCAGCTGCAGTTCTTGCTGCTGCAGTTGCTCCATTTCTTGCTGCTGCAGCTGCTCTATTTGCTGCTGCTGCAGCTGCTCGGTTTGTTGCTGCTGCAGCTGCTCGGCCTGCTGCTGCTGCAGTTCATCCTCTTGCCCCTGCTGCTGATCCTCTTCTTGCTGCTGCTTTGAGCTGCTGTCTTCAATAGCGAGGGGGACATATACAAACTCTTTTGCTGCTGCAGCACTCAGCTCTTCTGCTGCTGCTGCTNTTCAATAGCGAGGGGGACATATACAAACTCTTTTGCTGCTGCAGCACTCAGCTCTTCTGCTGCTGCTGCTTCTGTTGCTTCTGCTGCCGCTGCTGCTGCTGCTGCTGCTGCATCTATTACCGTCGCTGCTGCTTCCGTTGATGCTGCTGCTGCTTCTGTTGCTTCTGCTGCTTCTGCTGCATGCTCTACGATGACTTCCCCG